TAGCAAAAGAAATGACATAAGAAAATTGATTAATTAACGTAAGATGCACTTTATCATACTTTGAGTCAAGATTCATCCTTTAAATTTCAACATTCTTGATTTTGCTGCTTGAGAAAAAGGTTCATCTCAGTTAGTAAATCATGAGATTTGTTGCAGAAATTTGCTTCTTTTTAGCCATCATTCATTGGTTTGTAATAACAATTCTATCCGTCCATCATCATGTTGCAACTAACCATTTTTCTTTAGTTTTTTTATCTTTTGCTGTCTCACAAATACTGGTGACTTATTCAATGGTAGCTCAAAAAACTTCTGGAATTCATTATCATTTTCGCATAGAGATATAAATTTACTTACACAATCTGTCATTGCTTCTGTTCTGTCCATTATTATTGAAACTAACTGAAAAATTGTAGCTTGAAATTAGTGAAGTGTGTAAAAGAGCTGAATATATCTATGCCTCTAATTCTTTAAAAAAACAAGCAATATAATTTTTTTTAAGTCAATTCCTACTTAGTTCAACAAAGAAAAATTTTTAAAATAAAAACACAATTTTTTTAATATGTGAAGAAACCGTATTAACAGCGAGTATCTTCCAGTACAAGTTTAAAAAAATGTATTTGAACTTGAGTGGATGAATAAAAAGTATTTTATTAACAACTAAACATTTGAACAAGATATAGGGAGAGTGTTGAGCTACTAGTAGGAATTTAAGAATTATACCCAGCAAATCTTCTTAGATATATAACCTGTAAAAAACTGTACAAAGGAACATAAGCAGATGTGTTGTCACTTAATCTACCGATTCATTCGATTGAAAGGAAAAACAAGAATACAGTACAAAGTCTGTAATCCGGACGTCCATTATCCGGAATGATCTATAATCCGGACCTCAAAGCCACAAACTTTTTTTGTATGCTTTACGCATGTGTGTTTAGCACACAAAAACGAAGCAACTTAAACAACTTACATTGAAAGAAATGTTTAATAAAGTAAACAAATAAGTATTAAGCTTTTTTTTGGTAAATTTTGATACCCTTTAGATCATAATTGCTCTTTATTTCATAAATTATGGTTTTATATTTTTAATTGTATAATTTTTGCATGCCATCTTACCAGATTTAAATTGATGATCTATAATCCGGAAAAAACCTTAATCCGGAAAAAACCTTAATCCGGAATCACTGAAGTCCTGACGAGTCCGGATTACAGACTTTGTACTGTTTTTTTTTTGTTTTGTTTTATACGGGCGCAGCCCTTCCTCCTGGTTTGTTGAACCTTATGAAGAAAAGCGGGCGCAACCCTTCCAACAACAAACGACACGAGCCGGCAAGCCGGCCGTGTTCAAATAAAAACAAGATCAATTTAGCAGCTTAACAAAATAAATAAATAAATAAATAAATAAATAAATAAATAAAAAAATAAAATTAAATTTAAAAAAAGCAAGCAGAAAAAAAAAATCACATTTAAAGAACGCCCCGGAAAGCCAAGCCTGGGAACCGAGTAACATAAAAATTAGCATAATGCAAAAATAACAAAATTATAAAAACGACCGTGAGAACTCTTCTCTACGGACCTCAAGACGTCACAGAATATAAATAATAAAATCAAAAGAAAATTGGGTAAGTAAACTAAAAAGAATAACACAGCACATAAAAACACAAAAACATTTAAGCTGTCCCTGCACCTTTGCACACAAAGTCTTTCTCTCCCTTTAAGGGTAGTTTCCATAAATTGAACACTTTCAGTATGTTAGTTGAATCAGAGATGCTGATCACATGTTTATGAGAATTGATGACTTTTATAATATCTTGTGCAAATTTTACTCCTTTTTTATAATTTTGAATCATTTCTCTTACATTTCTGATTCCATGTAAGGCTCTTATCCCCCCCCCCAGTGAGTGTACAACTTTCAATAAAATGAATGCAGTCACAGGCAGTATTACATTTAAGACATAAAATTTACCCCCTGGAGGTGGAATCTCTAAGTACATAGGAAAGTGTCCATGATCTGTTACTAATTGATTATAGTCTTTATCGCAAAATATAGGCATATTCTTCTTAATTATTATATTTGACAAGGCCTCTAATCTTCTAGGAGATGCATTCCATTGATCAGACCAGGTTTTATACATGTGATCTTTCATTTTGCTAACTGTAACTTTTTTAGAATGTTGTAGATCACCATCAGAGATCCCATCCCCCAGGGCAGCCTCCTTTGCCAGGGAATCCACCCTCTCATTCCCAGTGATACCAATATGGGCCTTTATCCAATGAATATTAATTGACATTTAATATTTTAAATTCATATAATCATTTTAAATTTTATTCATATCATTTTTATGGTCCGGACGAGAGAGGGCGACGAGTGCTGAATAGGCATCCGAGTATATATGAACTGTACATTTATAGATCAAATTGGATTTAATCCATTCCAAGGCTTTATAAATGGCATATAGCTCTGATTGATAAACTGAATTATGTTTATCCAGTATGTATTTTTGATAATGGATCTCCAAACCATAAAAATATATGACAAACGCACATCCCACACCTCCCTCGAAACTGGATCCATCTGTATAAATTTCATATTCGCTGGTAGGCAATACATTGCAATCAAATAAAATATCATGTCTCTGTCTTGGATGAATCGAATTATTGTCAATTTGGGCAAATGCGTTTCTCTCAACCTGGATTTCATCCAGAATAAGAGAGCTTTCTATTGAATATTGTAATAGGAATTTATTGTAGAAAAACTTATAATGAATGGAGAGAGGGGGAACCCCGGCCAAAATACATGCAACATCAGGTGAAACTGTTCTAAAGCATCTAGTGATAATCAGACCTAAGCATCTAGTTCTAAAGTATCTAGTGATAATCAGACCTAAGCATCTAGTTATCTTACACCTGCAGTTTCTATGATTTTCATAATCTTGTAGATTTTCCTTCTTGGTATTGCAATTTCAATCTTCAGCAATGTAAATAAATTGAAGGCTGAATCTTAATATATTTTCTGTAAGGACAAAAGTGAATTCTTAATGCATTATACTACAGCCTGCAAAGTACTTTGATGAACAAAAGAAATAAGGTCTCTGCAGCATTTGTAAATTGAGTCATATTTTGGTTTACATGAAGATAAAATAAATGAATAAAACCCTTTTTAAGATTTATTATTTGCCTCATATGCATAATTAATTTCATTACTAATATTAAGTTAAGTTATCCTTTTACTTCAATTTTTAAAAATATATTCATTTTTCTTTTACTTCAAGGCCTGAACTATCGAATTTTCCTTCATTTTACACAGCTTAGGTCATGTACATGAAACTGCATTTTGTCCAAGTTTTCTTCTCTAAAAACATCTTCAGAATTACAGGATAGTATTAAGGTGGGCCATTTTTATAATCGAGCAGATAGAGTAATAATTTAATTTCTAACTGGTTTTGAATAATTTTATCAAGCAGCTGTTTTTGCTGAGCAAAAGAAGTCAAGGAAAAGGTAAAATAGGCAAAAATACTATTCATATTTCTTTACTTATGTTACCGTCATAATTTCTAGGTTGTCAATTTTTATATTCTTATGTAGAGGCCACATTCTGCTTTACTGTAAGTAGTGCATTGCAACAGACCCATAAATATTAAAAAAATTCAAAAGCAGAAGTGGATTTATGGGATTACGGTCACAAAGGGGCTGTGTTTTCCAAAGGGTTTCCAGATCACTTTCTGGACTCGAAGATAAGTATGAAAAATAATAAATATGCAGGTCTTAAGAAGCTCTGAAAAACTTTAGGTGAGAATGGCCTGTAATTTTATAAATCCGCCAATGAGACTACTGAAAAATTATCAGTCTTGTAGTACAGCTTTCTAGAAAATTCGGTAAAGGTTTCATTACATCAATACTAAATTGTTAAAAACCATGGTTCATAAGTTCGACATCTGTTGACTACATTCATATGGCTCACCAGTAGCTACTGACAAGAGATAATAGATGCCTATTTATCTATGGAAGTGTAAATGCATACTTCATCAGGCAGTAGACATCCATGTCATAATTAATCAACCAGTTAATTCCTTTACTGAAGTTGTCTTTTTTTAGCATCTTAAATAGTGTATAATTTTTAAATTAAGAAAGTTGTGTAGATTTTTTCTTAACTTTTTCTTGTTAACCTGCTTGATTTATCCAATTTGAAGGAAACTTCTGTACCATATGTGACATAACCTTATACAGTCAAAAGTCGTTAATTCGGACACCCATAATCCGGAATGATCTATAATCCGGACCTCAAAGCTAAAAACTTTCTGCGCATGCGCCGCGTTGACACATGTGCATAGGCGTTTACGCGTGCGTGTAAGACCTCTTACAACTGCGCATTTGCGTGTACGCAAGCGCAGAATACGTTTTCACGTGCGCGTTTTATGTATAACGAACGGTATAAGCTAAAATTATCTAATTATCTATTTCAGTTAATGTTGATGATTGCGTTGTTCCTTAATTTTCGAATTGGATCCAGCTTATTATTTTTTGCAGACTGTAAGAGCAATACTATAAAAGTAAACTTGAACTTTCGATTATGTCAAATAACGAGCAATTAACGGGACTTGAACAGCGGAACTTTGTAACTGAACAAAAAATTATGTCTGTTTATAGAATTAAAGAGAAAATATTATCACATAAAACGAAGCAACTTAAACAACTTACATTGAAAGAAATGTTTAATAAAGTAAACAAATAAATATTAGCTTTTTTTTTTTTTTTTTTTTTTTTTGTAAATTTTGATACCCTTTAGATCATAATTGTTCTTTATTTCATAAATTACGGTTTCATATTTTTAATTTTAGAATTTCTGCATGCCATCTTACGCGATTTAAACTGATGATCTATAATCCGGAAAAATCGATACTCCGGAATCGCCTAAGTCCAGACAAGTCCGGATTAACGACTTTTGACTGTAGTTGATTTTTGTTTTGATCAGGTTTGGAAAGTAACATTTATTGTTATTTCAGTATGGCCGTACGAGTCCTGGAAGTTATCTGGAAAGAGATCCTCTTCTTTCTGATTTAAGTAGAGTTTATACATATAGCTATTTAACAGCAGAGCCAACTCAGGGATATCTCAGACGTCCTATTGAACCCAAACCGCCGAAATCGCCACAATTTCATAGACCTCCTGGTAAATAAAGTTTGATTAAGAATATGCCATTTTCTCAATGTAATCATCATTTTTTAATTGTTTAAAATGATGCTACTTTTTTAAAAAAAATTAATAATAATTCCTTCATAAGAGAGATTTTCTATGAAAAAAATCTGCAGTTGAGCTCTTTCTACTGTAGACTGTTTTTCATTGCCAGTGAAGCTTCATATATTTTTTCACTTATTGTGTAAGTTTTGGATTCATGCTATTTTGAAATGCTACCAAAATTAAATGCATTGAGCATTTTTCATTTCCAAAAGATTGAATAATTTGATTTAATATATAAAAATTTGGATATTATAGAAAATGTGAATCATTTCCCACAACTGTGAAGAAAATTTTGAAGACTATTTAGAAGTTAATTGAAATAAATTGTACACAATTTTCAAGGAACCCATCTTATTCTGCATTAAATTAAAAGTGTTTTGTAGATTAAGATCAGTTATTAAATGTTTATAGCTAATTCTATAGTATGTAGTCTTGTCTTGCAAGCATTTTCTTTTAAGAGATTTCTAGCAATATTTTAGAATTGGAAGAGTTTAAGGTATTCTTTTTGAAAAAATAAAATACGGTGAAATTTTAACCATCTAGATGTTAACAGAATAAAAATTATAAGCATTATTGTAAAGCTGCTAATAAGTGTCAATGAAGAGAAAACAGCGTGTTGTGAAATATTAGTGAATATACACCATCTCCAAAAATTGTTAGACACATGTAAAATAAAATTTGAGCCCTGGCTGTCTCAAGTATTACTCTCATGTTGTAAAGATTTTTATGCAGAATTGTTTTATCTAAAATCTGAAAGCTAGTGCATCACATGAACTGTATAATGCATTTACTTTCTGTACTCATGGCACCCATATGGCAGAAGGCTGTGTGTGTTTTATGGCTTCAAAAATTAAAATATATCTGTAAAATTAAAAAACAATATATTGTAGACAATGCTTCTAATCTTGTGTCAACAAATTTAGTGGAGCAGCGAATGAAACAGTTAAAAGTATATTTTATCAAGAAGGAGTCAGTAGACCCAGTGTGAGTAGTAAGACAGTTGATCACATGCTTGACAGTTTTCGTTGAAGTCCAGTGAAATCCATTCATAATGCAATCAGAGAACTGTGCATTCCAAAGTGAATTCACAATATCCTGCATAAGCTTCATATATACAAAATTTAAATTGCGAAAAAAATTTTCCAAATAATTATAATGTTCAGTATCAATTTGCTATTGATGGTGCTGAATTGAATGAAAAACAAAGAAAACTTTTTCAGCACTGTTATTTTTCCTGATGAATTCACATTTCATGTATCAAATGCTATGAATTTGAATGTGATTGTATGTTAAAAATTTTCACAATACCCCCAGAACAAAAGAATATGATAATTTTGTGTTTGAACTAGATGGTGCACCTACACATTGCACAATGTGTTCGCATAATTTCCCAAATGAGCATTTTACAATTAGAAGGATTGGTTGTAGTGGTCTCATTACATGGCCTCCTTGTTCAACGTATACAAAATCACTGCATTTTTTTCCCCTTTGCATTACATTAGAGATCATTGCTTTATCCAATTTGCTATGTATATCAAATGCTTTATCTAATATACCTGATGCAGTATATCAGAACTGAAGCAGCTAACATTCCATAAATTCTGGCATCAAATTGAATCTTTATGAACAGAAACGTTTGGTGATGTAATGGTCTTGCTCTTGTAAATTCCATCAGTTTTCTAAAATTATGTATGAATGCTTTATGAATGGAACTTTCTGTGAAAAATTCATGAGGCCGTTTTGTAGGTTGTCCATAAAACATTTCTGGTATAGTATGATTAGTATCTTGCTGTATTGCAGATCATAGTCCTTGGTAAAATTTCACTTCAGGCTACTCTGTTATGGGCTTTTAATGCTGCTTTGAGCGAGTTATGGAGTCATTCTATTTTGCCATTGCACTGTGAATAATTAGGCTGTTGTATAATTAAGCTTGATACCACAGACTTGTTCTTAAATATTTTGGATGAAAATTGTGCTGCACTGTCTGTTACTATTTTACATGTTATTCGAAATTTTGTAATCCAATTGTTGTAGAAAGCTTTGATGATGGTTTCTGCTAATAAGCTATTGAATGTAATTACTTCAGCCCAATTTGTAAATCTAGCTGTGTAAGTCGAACATTTCCATTTTATGGGGTTAATGACCATATTATGTCAATATGAATTTCTTGAAATCTTTAAGTAGGTTCTTGATATTTTCCCAAATTTGATTTTTGTGGTGAGAAATTTTGTTTTTTTTCTGACAGGAAATACATGCTCAAGCCTATTGTTGTATGTCTTTTCTTTATGTTTGGTCAAAAGAATTTTAAAGGTATAAGCTTTACTGATGATTTTATTCATTTGTGCAAAAATCTGTGTGATTAAATATTTTCATTTGATATTTCTTCAGTATATAGGTCTAATTTTTATTATTAGTGTGTTACACCATAAATGTTTTCCTGAAGGTGATGATATTGTTTAAAATGAAATGAAATGGAATTTTGTAAATTTTTTAACTCAACAGTTTGGCTTTCTGCTGTTTCATCATAATTAATTCCTGCTATTCCTTCTATTCTTGATAATGTGTTATCACCTTTAATATGTTTGATTTCTGTTGTAAACTGTGAAATATATTGTAGTGGTCTGCATTGTCTGGGTGAAGCTCTGTCTGGTTTTTGTTGAAAAGCGTACAGGAAAGGGTTTTGATTAGTTTATATGGAAAAATTTTTCCTTCTAAAAAATGTTTAAAATGTTGTATTCCAGCAATGCATGATCATATTCACTACAATTTTGATGTGCAGTATTTAGTTTGTTCAAAAAGAATGCTATTGTCTTCCATTCATTTTTGTGTAGTTTTGTAAAACTGATCCAATTCCCGTATCTGAAGTCTTTGTAAAAAAATGCCAGAGGTAATTCAAAATTCATGTGGGATAGCAGTACAGCTTTGGCAAGATCTGGCTTACACTTTGCAAATTGTTTTAATGCCTCTTCTATCTACTGAATTTTTATTTTGTCTTTTGAACCTTTCAAGTAGTCTTGTAAAATAAGCTTGGAATTTTGCTGTCTTTTAAGTAACAATGATAAATTTGATCATGTCAAGATATGTTCTTAATTCATGGATTAGGGGTGTTTTGTAATTCAGTACAAATTCTACTTTTTGAGGTAATGAATGAGAACCATTGGATGTAACTAAATGCCATAAAAATTCTGCATTTTGGCAATGCTATAAAACTTCTGCATTTTGTACCCAAAAATTGATTTTTACGAGTATACTCTTAAGCCATATTTGTTTAATCATTAAAACTTAGATTTATGTGTTTTTCATTTTTTTATGTGCGATTCTTCGCTATGTGATGTGATCAATACATAATCTAAATTAGCAAAAGTGAAATTTAAATCTAAAAACTTCATTGCTGAATCTTTGAAATGTTGAAGAAACATTTTTCAAACCAAGTCTCATGACATTAAATTCATACAAGCCAAATGAGGTTATTATGGCAGTCCTATATTTAACCACTTCTGCTATTTTTATTTGATAATACACTTTAGAGATATCAAGTTTAGAAAAAAATTGATGACTTTCAAAATGTGGAATTCAATTATTGGTGTTGGGTATCTATTAGGCACTGTTCGAGAATTTAACTTGCTGTAATCTCGGCTTGGACAACATGAATTATTTCATTACCTAGCGTCAATTTAAATTCTTTTGTAGGATTTCTTGGTGTTTTGGGTCAAGTTCGTGAGCTTTAAAATGTACAGGTTGACCTTCAGCTACTATATTGTGTTTGGCATCATGCTTTGTATCTGAGATTAGTAACTTTGACTTAAGTATAAGAGGATTTTAGATAATTATTCTTTCAAGCAGATTACTGAGTTAAACACATTGTATAGTAATGGAATCAAAATGTGCAGTAACAAGCTACAATCATGCATGCTTCACAACCACTTTACATGGGCTAGCAGGCAGTTTCATTTGCACTGTATTTTTTATAATCATTTCATAAAATTATGAAATATTTTAATTTGTGCTTTAGTGTGGATAAATTTAAAAATACAATTGACCTTCAAGAGTGTAATCATAGCAGTGATGATTTGATTTATGTCTCGGAAGATGCTCAGAAGAATATTGTAAAGTTTTTTAATTACAATGCATAATACTTTTCAGTATGTACACATATAACACAAAATTACAAATAACCTGAAAATCGATTTTAAAATGGATCGCAGAACCTTTCAAGCCATATACCAAGGGATAGACAAATCATGACAGCACTCCAGCAGTTGTCAAAGAATGTCAGGAGCAGGATGACCATAGCAACAGTGCCTCAGCCACGGTTTCGCTTGAAATCTGTTTTTGTTTTCTTACTCACAGCACTCTGAACTGGCCAATCTCCTCAAATTTAGTAATCATATTTTTCAAACCATTCTTCAGTGCAGATCCTTTTTGTAAAACTTGATCTTTCTGCTCTAAACGTATGGTGAAGAATAATTTTACAGCATTGACTACTGATATTTTTAATAGTTCCCTATTTCTATAATATACTTTCTACACATCACATGAAAAGTGCTATCCAGTGGTCAGATTTTGAAATAATAATTTCAGTTTTGCCTGTAGTCCATATAATGTAGGTATTAAGTTTCAATGGAATACATCAAATATAATAGACTCTGCATAGATCTAAGTAGGTTCATTTTAATTATAATCATCCTATACCACACATTAAAAAACTACAAGGTCAGAAAAGGTAGCCTCAAAATTTCTCGCACTACATATGTGTCCAAATGCAACTTTTCCAGAAAATAGGTTAAAATTTGCTGTATGTAAGTGCTTAAAAATTAAATTTGAATGTTTTTGATTAATGACTTAATATGCAATACATAATATATGCCCATAGGTTTTAGAAATTGTTCAAAATCCTTTTTAAGAAAGAAGTTTTAAAATGTTAATCAGTACGTAATTTCTTATTTTTAGAAACATTATTAACAAATTCACTAAATATATTCATAATGTTATTTATTTTAAACAAATGTTTGTTTTATTTTATTTGTAGCTTCATTGTATTTTATGTATTTCAATTCTTTCATAGATGATGTGGATCGAAGAAAAACATGGAGTAAAAGTCCTGTTCACAAAGCAGGTATACTTATTTTTGAAAAATTAGTACTGTATATGTTCTGATGTAATTTACCTTCCTAATGCATAATTAGCTTGCATTAAATTTATATTTTCTGCCAAAACTGTTGAATGAATGCAGTTTTGTCCACTTATTGGGTACTGTAAGGGTGAGTCAAATGAAAACCTTAAATATTTTTACTTGCAATTTATTGAACAATAGTGGAACACAAATGTATCATTTTTTGACATACTCTCCCTGGACGTTGAACACACTTCCTCCAGTGCACAAATTCCTCTTGGAAAAAATTCTTGTGGTCATGTGTACAGCCATTCATGCACCACATGGTCTCCTTTTCACTGGAATGAAATTTCTTTCCTTCCATCACCTCTGAGGAATCTAAACATATGATAATAGTTGTGGTGAGTTAGTGAATGTGCAAGAAAATCAAAGTGAAAGTCAATGAGGATTATAATTCTTGCATGAGCTAAATGAGGTCGAGCATTGTTGCATTGCAAAATGACACCTGACGTCTATATTGCTTTGATGTGACTGCAGGCCAAAGATGATTTTTCAGCATATCAGAAAATGATGCACTGATGACAGTGTTTCCCCTAAGTGTGTAGTGTTCTATGTTAATGCCTCATTCATCCAAAAAAAGTCAACATAAGCTTTCCTGCAGATAGCTGCAGCCAGAACTTCTTTGGTTTTGAAATACTATTCCTCTTGGTTTGGGGTCATTGGTTGTGGACCCAGGTTATATCTTCTGTAATGAGTCTTAGAAAGAAGCTGTCATCTACTACTTCAGAGAAATGCAAAAAATCTTCACAGGCATCAACACATCACTGTTTCAGATCGTGAGTGAGATGCCTTGGCACTCACCTTGCAGACACTTTGTGAAATTTAAGCATGTGGTGTGCTGAGCTATGACTAATGTTCAGATTTGCAGCTACTTCATCCACCATCATATGATGATTATCTATTCTGATAGCTTCAGCTGCTGCAATAGACTGAATGATGTCACAGTCCAGTGTGCCTGATGTGGGTGGGGAGCATCTGCCACAGAAGTCACACTTATTCTGAACTTCCTACTCCGCTCATACACTTGCTGCAGTGATAAGCATGCCTCACCATGCTGGACTTTCATTCACCAATGGATTTCAGTAGGTTTCTTGCTTTCACTGCTCAGAAAATACATGACAGAACATTGATCTTCGTTGGTGCATGTCGCAAGCAGGGCAGCAATTTTAATCTTGTATTGTGGCAGCGGTTTGCTTGTCTGTAGTATGCAGTTGTTATTAGGTGTTTGTTAAAATAAGTCTACTGCCAGCTTACAGAACGATAGTGCAGGAAATTGAAGGCTTGTTACATTTGTAAGGTTTACACGTGACTCTCCTACGTAAGTTTTTCTTGTGATTCTCAAGAGCTGATATAAATTTTCTTAACTCCTGTAAGTGTATATATGCGTCGCAAAATTATGTAAAATGAATTATACTGAATGTTTAATAACTAGATAAAATCATTCATTTGATCGTAAACATATTTAACATTACTTAAGTGTTATAAAAGACTGTATTTAAATGCTTTCAAGTATAACCAATTAAAAATATTTTTGGGAATGCAAATAATATTTTGAAGACCTTCAGAATCTTGAATTTACCACCTTTAGGTAAAAATGAGATCATAAAGATTAGTCTTCAAATTCTGTAAACATACATAGCTTTGTAATGCAGCCTTATGTCAGGAGAATAACATTAATTAAATATTCATTTGTAAACCTCATCACATTCTTTCTTATAAATATTCAGTAAATTTCATTTCTGAATAAGACTGAACATAAATTCTGTACGCTTAAATACCATTTGTTTAACATCTGAAATTTTGATGGGTTTGAGCAATGAATTACCTGTTTGAATTTAAGTTCATCATTGATTCTCATCATGTCTTTATTATAAATATTTAGTAAATTTCATTTTTAAATAAGACTGAACATAAATTCTGTACTCTTAAACTATTTGTTAAGCATACGAAATTTTGATGGTTTTGAGCAATTTGTTTGAATGCAACTTTAAGTTCATCATTGATTTTATTACTATCAAATTCAGTAAAAAAAGTTCCAATTTTAATATTATCTTTTCCTTCTTTTTTTATGCTATATCTTCAATCTGACAGGAATGCAAGCCTTAGGTATGTAATGCAAAAAGTTATCTTTTTATCAAATGTTCCATGTATTTCTTTGAAATTTTAAATTGTTAAACAGTTAGTCTTCAAACTACTATGTGTTTAACTTAATCTAGACAAGTTAGTTAATTTATTTCAATAATATTGAACCAGTGACTATTATTGACAAAGATTTTAAATTCATGTGGATTTAATGTTATTCATTCTTTATGTTATGTTTATAAAATACATGTATGTATTTGAACAGTTGAATCAATTCAGTCATCAACACCCCGTCCACGTTCACCCCACATGAATAATGAAGAGCCGATTGAATATTCGCACTATCCTGGAGGTCATCCTCCTAGTCCAGATGAAGTGCCACCTATTGAAAGAGATGATTTCCCCGCTCCTCCTTTCCCATTTACAGATCCTGGTAAATATTTTAGTAATTTAAAAATATATATTAAATGTATTACATTAAAATAATCTTGCTATTTGTATGTTATATCCAACACATTCGTTTGCAAGAAAATATTCTTTTAAACATGTTATCTCAACTTCACTATTTCATAATGTGCCAACCGCATGTTAAGAAGATTTTTCTTTACTTATGACACTTCTTTAAAGCAGTTTATTTTCAATACTAAAATTAAGGACTTTGATAAATGCTTAGTTTTAGGTATGTGCCCCTAAAATGCATAATGTATTTTTTTAATTCCAAGCATTAAAAATTAGAGGGAAATTTGGTCTAAATGCTTTTATTTTGAAAATATGGAAGGCTACGAGTTATAATGCATATGAAAATTTGATCTCCTCCCCCCAAAAGTAGTTCTAATCTTGCCATGTGATTGTTAAGTTCTCAAGCTCTAATATGAAAAAAAAAAAAAAAATTACTTTTGTGTTTTATGTAAGCCTAATCTTATATTTACAACTTTCACATATCATGGTTGACTTTTATGTCTTCAGGTTATGGAGCTGTTGCAAACAATTGGCATATGAGGGAAATGGCAATTAAAGAGGCTGCTTTTGTGAAGCAAATTTTTTTCTCTGAGGAAATGATGTTGCTTTAATTACATAAAGCTTATGTGGAATGGATAATTTATTTTTGGCTGTCAGCCAAATTATTTCATTCGTGGTTAACTACAGAATTTGGTTGTGACAGTTTCTTAAACTTGATTACCATACCATATTTTATGAGTTTTGCATACAAACAACATTGTTTTTTTTTTAAATTCAGAATTTGAGAGCTATTATATTTACAACAAAACTCAATTTGTGTCAGGACAATGGAAACAATTGGGGGGGGGGTACCAAAAGATAGCAAAAATGGGAGAAACTGGAAAAATAAAAACTACTATTTTCTCTGTTTTTATATTTAACTCTTTATACTTCAGATAAAGCTTTAATAAAAGTTTTTGTGTTATTTATCTTAATGAGTAATTAAATGTATTATTAATAATATAAGCATAAAAATAAGCAGTATTTTCATTTCTTTAATTAAAGAAAAATTTTAAAGATGTGTTTCATCCAGAATGCAAAATTGTTGCATGGATACCTTTTCTCAGTATTACATCATGAAATAAAAGTCTTGAGAAAGTTCCCAGCAAAAGCTTGTTCCTGAAATCAGAATGAATGAAAGAAAATTTTGAAAGTGTCCTTTCAATAGCAGCTTAGCTAGCCTCCTTAGCAAACAAAATTTATCTAAACAGTCAGTTATATGACAAACTAAGCAGCTACCAGTCAGTGAACATCCTGCCTCATAACATGGTAAAACTTTTCACAAAGAATAGTTTTTTTAATTTAATTTGATTGCAGTTTCTGATGAAGAAATCTTTATTGAATTATGAAGTCAGCATGTTTGTAAGTTTGATTAGTTACCCTTTCTAGCCATATATGCTCAATGCAATGTGACACTTTCATTTTCAGCTATTTGGTCACTCCAGAAGTTTTTATCAAAATAGTTTCCCTTGGGAAAAGGCTGTGTATATTGAACACGACAGCGACAAAATACCATCTTGCTAACTCACGCTGAAAATAAAAATCAAGCAGAGAAACGCAAATCAATAAAGGTCACCGGTCTCTGCTTAGGAAATTTATCCTGCATTGTAAAAGGGTCTATGTGACAGAAGTCAGGTTTTACAGGAGCAACAAAAAGCTATGCCAGATGTCAACAATGAAAAATTATGATATTGATATAGCTAATATCTATGTAATTCAACATTTTCTAAATAGTTGCTCATCCCCCCCCACAAGATTTTTGAAAAATTACACATATCCCATTTTTACAACTTGCAGCATTTCTTTCTTCCCAGATTGTGCCCAAAATAGGAAAAATACTTAGTATTATGAAAAATTTGTTGATTTTGTGAACTAAAATTACAGTAAGATAATTTAACTTTAGAAAAATATTAAGAAAATCAAGTACAGTCTATCTATTGTAAAAAATAAAGTAATAACATTAAAAACTAATTTTTATTTTATTATTATTCTTATTATTAATTTTTTTCCCATAAACAAGGCTGAAGTATTGAAAAGCTGTTAAAGATGTAATGATAAACAATAAAGAAACTGTCAGGAATGTTCCCAACAATAGTAAATCTTTTAATCATCTTCATCACCATTCTCCTGGTTTCTTTCTACTATTTGGCTACTGCATGATCTCATTGTAAATGTCTGTATGCTATTATATGCACTTTATGCTGATTATAAAATTTGTTGCATTATGTGAATGTGGAATTTTGGTTATAAATTATAAAATTTCAAACTAAGCATACTGACCTGAAACTGGTAAAGAAAAGAATTGTTTTAAGTTTTTATATTAAAGTATACTAAAATAGGAGCTAGCTTACATGTATTTAAATTTTTCATTTACAGAAACTTAATAAATATTTCTTATTTAATGTTCTGTTAAACACATTTTTCTTCTTTTAAAAATGTATAAATGTCAATAATGCAAAACTCTTCATTATTGTTGGCAGAACGTCGAAGGAGGTGGAGTGGCAGTTCAAAAGATGTTGAGGGTGAGGTTGAGTTAGAAATTGATGAACCCATGGAAGAGTGTGATACTCAGTTGAAGCGAGAAGAAGAGGAGTTGTCTAAAATTGCAACTGGCATAGGAAAAGTATGGTTATAGTGTATGTGTGTTGTGTTTAGATATATATGTGTGTGTGTATGTGAATAGGAATAACTATTTTCACATTAATTTCATTTATGTATTATTGTTGTTTACATTTCTAAAAATGCATGCTGGGATGACTTCTGTTTCTTTGATTTTTGAATTATTTTAAAGTTGGCAATAATTCCCATGTTGGTGTCATATATTTCATTTTATACAGCTCTGCTTCTTGTATAACTCGTGTGCTGCTGTTTTGTAATACAGTCAAAAGTCGTTAATTCGGACACACATAATCCGGAATGATCTATAATCCAGACCTCAAAGCTAAAATCTTTCTGCGCATGCGCCGCATTGACGCATGCGCATAGTCATTTTACTCGTGCGCCCAAGACAATTACGACTGCGCATATGTGTCTGCGCAAGTGCAGAATACGTTTTCGCATGCGCGTTTAATGTATAACGGACAGTATAAGCTAAAATTATCTAATTATCTATTTCAGTTAATGTTGATGATTGCGTTGTTCCTTAATCTTCAAATTGGATCCAGCTTATTATTTTTTGCAGACTGTAAGAGCAATTTTCTTAAAGTAGCTTGAACTTTTGATTATGTCAAATAGAATTTCCGATGCTGGAGCTCCCAAAGGATCTAGGAAACGAAAGTATGTTTCGATGTCCATCAAACAAAAAACAAATTGCTACAAAAATGGATAAAGGCATATTCTTTGTTTATCTAACCGTTCCGAAATCTGTTTATCAATTTCACGCTGCTCTGCGCGGGGGGGGGGGAGACGTCCCGGCGTGCAATGAACTGGAAGTTGATTTGTCAACACTATCGTTATCTTCAGAGCAGATGCTTTTATTTTATTCGGCTTATAATTCCTTACTAAATGTAGTATTTAATTTCGATGTACTCCGTCTTTGATATGATTTAAATCAAATTCCTCGTCATTATAAATACCACGAATACAAATCAATTAGTTTTCTGGTTGCAATTTTCTAATTTCGGCTGTGCGTAAGGTATGCTTTACGCATCCGCGCGTTGAAAGAAATGTTTAATAAAGTAAACAAATAAATATTAGGCTTCTTTTTTGGTAAATTTTGATACCCTTTAGATCATAATTGCTCATTATTTTATAAATTACGGTTTCATATTTTTAATTTTTATAATTTCTGCATGCCGTCTTACCAGATTTAAACTGAGGATCTATAAACCAGGCATATTTCATGGAAAGAAAAATAATTTTTTTAAATACTTAGCTTGATTATAATTTCATCATTTGGTTTTTTGCTAATCTGGTTATATTTTAATAAATGAATTAGTCATTTTCCTCTGTGACACTAATGTCCAAAATTGAAATTACAAACACATTTTTTGCAATAGTTCAAAATACCCACAACTAATATTTTTCAGAATTATGCGATATGTAACTTACAGAACAGTAAATATATATAAACACGTGGTAGTTGCTGAAAAGTGAAAAGGGTAAAAGAACCATGAATGTGATCAGTTTTTGAATCTTTGAATTTCATCTATAGAACTGTGTTTCTTGGAAGAAAAGTCACAACCATTTATGTAAAGAAGGGGATAACAATACCAACACTGAAAACACGCTGTGGCATAGTGGTCCCTACATGACAATGCTACTCCATCAAAATGTTTGATTTCTCTTATGTTTTAGAGATGATAGCAGACCTCATACTCTCTCATCATGATGGTTTGTTGAGATTCACTCTATATACTGAATCCCAACTGATCACTGAAGAGGACATGATGCCAGATTTGCTGTATTTAAGGATTTGTGGATGTTGGCACTATCTCCAGCAGTGCATTTGTATTATGTACATACTCCTGAACTTTATTCAGCAACCACCTTATTTATTATCAACAAATTACTTAATTTCAACAAAATTTGTTTGTTAATGATGACTAAATCTTTTGTTTTATCAGACTTGCATATTCTAGGATTGTTGTTTGCCATAAATATTTTTTAGATGTTGCATTTACCTGCACAAATTGCAATTTTGTTATTTAAAAATGCAAAAGCAAATTTTTTTAATAATAGACACATCAAAATCTGTGGTGTTCTTGGTAACCATTTCCGTATTCATATTAATTTACATGACAAATATGTCTATCCTTGGTGCATATTTAGGATATTTGGAAAGTGTCTTCTTGATATGCATCAGCATTTCATCTCCGAAAGATTGACAATATTTTGGCATAGCATTCTGTGTTGGGCTTATCTAAACTATTTTTAAAAATTATAATGCATTCTTCTGCATTTTCAAACTCATTGCTAAATCCCAGCATTGAACTAGCATAAAAGTAACAGAAGCACTTGAAATCACTACCAAACTGTGTTGCAATAGCTACCTTCCTTTTTAACCCTTCATACCTCTAGACATTATTTCTAAATACAACAAACAACCTTGCAGAAAGTAATAAAAGAAGACAAATCTGACCAAATCATCCATTCCAGCTTCAACTGATGAGGCAGACAGGCTGGTTGTAAAAGCTCCTACTTTGATTTGTGTTGAAATGTGGTTTTGGTTTGTCAACCCAAAATGCTTTATCTTGTTTAATGAGCACTTAATATATTTATAAATATACTACTCATGTTTAAACTAATTATATTCAATAAATAACTTCTTTCTGAATCATTGATCATTTACTATGAATGACACATAATTTTTCCGTAGAAAATATAGCAGTTATTTTATACTGAAGAAACTATAAACATCATCTCTTGTATCACCAATATATACAAATAAAAGACTAAAAGCAGTAGAAAATAATTATATGCTATAATTTTGTATAACTGTTTAACAAAAATTGCAAATATAAAATTAGGCAAGCAACAGCCTTCTGCGTGGCATAAATTTTAACCAAGATTGTATCGATTTCAAAGGCAACATGTGCTGGTCCCTCGTCACAAGAAAAATTCTACAAAGAAGAGAGCTGTATTTATACTAAAAAGTAAAATGAACCGGGAGGTAGCACCATCTGTCCAAATAAATAGCAGTGAAACTTGAAAATTAAGTTAGTAGCATGTTTAAAAGCATTAGGACGCACTGGAGTGGAATTAAAGTCATTAATTAAACATCATAAATCTTTGTGAATGTGAAAAGCTTCAAGGAAATCCAGTTCACCACCAAAACGTTTTGGGTAATTTTTGCAGATCCTAAGTCAAAGCAGCGATTAAATTTTCAACAATGATTAACTAGCGTTACAATCAGCTCTTCCTAATGCTTTTAAAATTCTAATTAGCGTAATTTTTTGTGTTTTGTTACTATTTATGTGGACAGATGGTGCTGCCTCCCTCTTCATTTGATTGTTAATAAATTCATTTGAATAAATACAAGTCTCCTCTTTGTAGAATTTCTTTTCTCCTGATGATGTTGGAAATGCGCCTGTAGCCTTCGAAATTGATGGAGATTGTTTAAGATGTATGCTAAACAGAATGTTGTTGCTTTGCCTAGTTTTATGTTTTACTATGGCGAGTTCCCTTCTCTTGATATTTGCAAATCTATTTAGTATTTTCATCATAATTGTTTGATTGATAAGTGTCATCGATAAGAAGTCACAATTATTAATATAAATTATAAAAAGTAAAGCAAGAACTAAGTGCCAATTTTGACATTGTTGAAAATGCATTTACGTATTTTTTGATAACATCAATAAGTTTTCTAAATTCAGTTATTTTTCTATGCAGAACACATATAGGTATATTACACAATGTTTACTGTAACTCTTTGTGTATTACATTAAAATCCTCTGTATGTTTTTTAATGCCTTTAAATCCGCATTCAAATAAAAGAAGGACCACAAGGTTGCTAAATTTGTGATACGTGCTAATTCATCTAACAGGAATTTAATTGAGGCTTTTCCTAACATGTTTAACTATACTATTAATATACGTTTTCACTTGAAGCTTTCTTCATTCTACCGAATGTCTTAAGCAGTCACATAAATTGTATTCTCTGGTAATTGGTACAAACTGGATTGAGATTTCCAAACAGTCAGTTGAAAATTGACCTGTTAATATCCATTTATATCAATAAAAATTCCCGTCTTATTATATTTTCACAAACAACATTTCTTTTGCTTGAAATAAAACTTGTTCTAGGAGGAATTTTTGACACCATGTTTGGCTTTTTGTGTCATCTTTGGAAAATTCATAAATACCAACATCGTCCTTTGTTCAGCGTAACTGGATTTATAATTTGGTGCATTAAATTAACACGCTACAAGAACGTATGAACATCATATGTTTAGCCATGAAAGTGACCTACGAATGCAGGGCATGGAAAGAATTATTCATCCCCGGATTGCTTAATAAGTGTCTTGGCATTCTTATAAAGTCCATGGCTTCATATTCATGTAGTGATATGTAGTTTGAAATGTATGTGGGGAATGACGAACTATGCCAGCAGACTGCTTTTGCCAAACTAGCTCAATAAGACTTTTTGCTTACACATTTCTTTGCAAAATCAACTAATTTCGGCCCCCTTGTACTGCCTTTACATCAGGGTTGCCACACTACCTGGAAAACCTGAAAAAGTCAGGGAATTTGGAAATTGGCCAAAAAATTCAGGGAAAAGTCAGGGAATTTAAGTATTTTAGTCAAAATCTGGAAAAGTGAGCGAATTTCATACAACGATCCCACCAAAAAAGGCAAGTTTTGCGCCGACATCAGAAGAGATCACTTTTTTTGCGAATTGTGTATCACGTGAATGTCATTCGGGCAGCTGGCATAGAGCCAATTTTCGCAGCTCCAATATGATTGTCTTTTTAGAAAGGCAAAGCAAGTTTCCCGCAACTTTTGGTTTCCAGTAACCTCGAGAATCGCATGTGCAGTGCATGAACTAAAGAAAGTACCTGTTCTCGTATGAAACAAAATGGGTTTAATCCTAGTATACGGTACCATGAAGGTTAGAATAAAAAAATGTGTATTGTAAAGAAGGAAAACCTCTCTGCAACAGACGTGGCTCCGTTCCATCATAGCGGGAAACAGCTGTGCATGCGCGATATATATGTCGCCAAGGATCGAAACCGGTGTCCAGTTCATAAAATGAATATCGTTTAAAATTTCTTTAAACTTGTTAAAGGAAAAGAAAATATTTTTTGGTGCAAGTAAATTAATTCATGGATTAGTTATTTGGGGGGGGGAATCTACCGTTTTTAAAATTATTGCGAAAAATCCAAGAAAAAACGTTCTTTGATAAAACGTTTCTTCTTGGATTTTTCGCAATAATTTAAAAACGGATTTTCGTAGTTTTCTTTTTTGTCAAAGAACATTTCTTCTTAATACGTGTTTCTCAATTTCCTGTACACATCGTGGAGAGGGAAATTCTGGCCGCCAGGTTCCGTCGCCAAATCCCTTGGCAAATTTTCCTCTGCTTTTTACATAGACGTTCTTTGGTTAGAATAATCTCCATGTATGATACAGCGAGATTTGGTGGCATGATGATGAGCAGTAAACGGGTCATTTTGTTTTTGGCGACAATTTTAAAAATCATGCGAAGACTGTATCGTATAGTCAAAAGTCTTTAATCCGGACTCATCGGGACTTCAGCGATTCCGGATTATCGATTTTTCCGGATTATAGATCATCAATTTAAATTTGGTAAGATGGCATGCAGAAATTATAAAATTAAAAATATGAAACCGTAATTTATAAAATAATGAGCAATTATGTGATCTAAAGGGTGTCAAAATTTACCAAAAAAGAAGCCTAATATTTATTTGTTTACTTTATTAAACATTTCTTTCAACGCGCGGATGCGTAAAGCATACCTTACGCATAGCCGAAATTAGAAAATTGCAACCAGAAAACTATTTGATTTGTATTCGTGGTATATATAATGATGAGGAATTTGATTTAAATCATATCAAAGACGGAGTACATCGAAATTAAATACTACATTTAGTAAGGAATTATAAGCCGAATAAAATAAAAACATCTGCTCTGAAGATAACGATAGTGTTGACAAATCAACTTCCAGTTCATTGCGCGCCGGGACGTCTTCCCCCCCCCCCCCCGCGCGCGCAGAGCAGCGTGAAATTGATAAACAGATTTCGGAACGGTTAGATAAACAAAGAATATGCCTTTATCCATTTTTTGTTGCAATTCAGTTTTTTGTTTGATGGACATCGAAACATACTTTCGTTTTCTAGATCCTTTGGGAGCTCCAGCATCGGAAATTCTATTTGACATAATCAAAAGTTCAAGCTTACTTTTAGAAAATTGCTCTTACAGTCTGCAAAAAATAATAAGCCGGATCCAATTCGAAGATTAAGGAACAACGCAATCATCAACATTAACTGAAATAGATAATTAGATAATTTTAGCTTATACCGTCCGTTATACATTAAACGCGCACGCGAAAACGTATTCTGCACTTGCGCAGACGCATATGCGCAGTCGTAAATGTCTTGGGCGCACGAGTAAAACGCCTATGCGCATGCGTCAATGCGGCGCATGCGCAGAAAGATTTTAGCTTTGAGGTCCGGATTATAGATCATTCCGGATTATGGGTGTCCGAATTAACGACTTTTGACTGTACTAGGATTTTACCGCAAAATGTTTTTTTTTTCTCTTTTTTTTTTTTTCATTTTAATAAATACCTTGTCATTTTGCAGTAAAATAAAAAAATAGTAACCAATCATCTAGGATAACCATGTTATATAACTATATTCGCTAAAATATCATTGATTATTCTAATTAAATTTTTAAGTAATTATCTTTATTTTTATGTTATTCATATCATTTAATGTTGCTTCTTCCCTCTAAATTTATTTATCATTAGTAAATAATATTTCCAAATTTCAGGAAATTTTCTCTGGCATAATCCTGAAATTAATTCTAGCAGTATGATGATATCACAAAATTTAATGCACATATTTTTTCTTTATGTATGATGCGAAATAAATATAAAATACCTCAATTTAGTAAAAAAATATCATTAAATAGATTTCTTTCTTTCGTTTAGCTGCAGAATGTCTGCAAAAAAAGCCTTATTTTATTCCAGATTGGGCAGATTCTAATCTCAATCTTCAGTGGAGAAAACAACTCCTATTATAATTATATTGGTTTTCAAGTGTTAAGGTGCCTTTTAAGAATACACCTCACACAAATTAAATTTACCTAAAATCTAACCTAACTTTTAGCATTGCGTTGTGATTTATAAGAACCGGATTAGCCTCGTGTTGAACTGGGGATGATCATGAGTAATAATTAAATATAACGTACAGTTGTTATCCAATGTATATATCTTAAATTTTATTAAGTTTTTTTAAGCGGAAAAGTAAACAAAATTATCAAACAAAGTGTACCAAGAATAATTAAGAATAAATGTCCTCTGGGATTTATTGAATAATTAAGGGAATTTGCTACTCAGTACAAGTAATACCATAATTAATTTACCTCTTAGCACAGCCAACATATATTACATGGATAGACTGGAATTTTCTCGAAACATACCTGGAAAACCTGGAAAAGTCAGGGAATTTCATTCTCCTGTTTGAGTGGCAACCCTGTTACATTCTTGCTTGATATTTTTAATAATCCTGCATGTTCTGAAACCTTTCTGAGATAAACATAAAAGGTTCCAAATGACTTTGGTCTTTAGGGAAAGTAATCACTTTAGAGTACTTGGCTATCAGTGATGTTTGAAACCATTATTTAATTATGTGTTCAGAAATACTTGTTACTTTGGAAAGTGATCCATCTTAGACAGTTAATCACCATGAAAGGTTTTTATGTATGTCTGTGAGTAATATTCCAATAATATTTGTTTTATGTAAAATTAAGCAAAATTTTGCTAGACTTTAAATCAGAGTGATTATGAATAAGCTTTCCCTCCCCCCTTTTTTTCTGTCTTTTTGCTTACAATTAAGAAATGGCCTTGGGAATCGTGTATGTTCTTTTAATAGTGAAATCAGCTGTAAGAAATTTTCTGTGGAAATATATTTTAATCGCCAAAGAGGGCGTAAATTTTTCATGATGTATACTTCTTGTTCTTGGATCTGGCACCGCCAGTTGAATGTGTGTTAGACATGAATAAACTTGGGAGTTTAGAAACCTGATTTGTAGTGTTCATGTATCTTGATGTTATGTGTGATTCGAATTAGTGATTTTTGAACAAAGATATCATGCAATTCTTGGCAGTTAATATAATATTTTATATCAGCCTCAGTTGATAAGATACTTAAGCTAGGACTAACACAGGACCTAATAATAATAGTTCATGTGTTTTGTACGTTCAGCTCCTAACTGTCTTCAGGTAGAATAAATCAAGTCTTGTCTGCCTGAGCATGAGTCTTATTTGTTCCTGGAGGAATGTTTTTTCATCATGGATGAGGAAATTTTTCATGTTTTCTTATGAAGCATTTTATGCTGTGCAAGTACATAGCGATGAACTCGTTCGGTTTTAACGGCAGGCTCTCTATTTTTAACAACATCTCCCAGTCTCCTGTTATATTGCCAAATCTCGTAGTTTTTAATTTTTAGCTTTTACTAAGGAATATGTTTCCTAAGCACTTTGACTAGTAAATGAATAAATAAATGAAGTGTATTGAATAAATTCAACTTAAATTATGCAAATTGCATTCCCCCACCTTTTTTAATGATTTTTAGAATATTTTTTTCCATATTAAATTTTATTTTATCTGAATTGTATTTTTCCCTTGTATTACATTTTATTAAATTTTTTGTATTAAATTTCATTTGATTCGAGTAGTCTTAATCTACTGCAGACTTTTGTAGACAAGCCATGTTTAATCATTTAATAGTTTTATTTAAATTTCTTTACTTCAATATATGGTACATTACTTACTAAGTCTATCCATATAAATGCTTTCTACATTAATTATTAATTTATTTTCATCATATTTAAAGGTACTTTGGTAAATAACAGCTTTTCTTCAGTACTTGGGATTCTCTCAGAATGAAAATGTAAGAAAATTTTAAAAAGAATTTGACCATTAGAGCATAATGATTAAAATATCCAATGGAATGCTGATATATTTTACACCAGGATTGAATTAAAGATAGTTCTATAAACTGAACTGGGCTTTGTAAAGTAATTTAAGGTCATTTTAGGGATCCTCTGAAATAGTTTTGCCAAGCAGCATGAAGACCTCCTGTTTTTCTCTCAAAAATCTCCCGGTTTTTAAGATCTCAAGGTTGGCCTTTTTGCAAATAAAACAAGTGTGGTTTATCATTATTTTGCATAGTTTCCGAAGATTTTCTTCTGGTTTCTTATAACTTATTTCTTGTTAAAAGTATCGCTTTTATTTAGTTTATTGGTTCCATGAAAATATTTCCATTTTTTTTTCTAATTCACAAGATACTTAATTTACATAATTTGTGGAAGGCAGGATATGAGTAAAGTCAGTTTTAATAATATGGTGTCTGCAACTAAATTGTGTGCTGTAACTGAAAATATGCGAATACTGTAAAATATTTGTCATGCAAAACAATTTATTTACATACTTTATAAAGATGTATTTAGAGTTACCAATACTAAAAAGTAAATTGTCACACATTTTAATTTGCTGCTTTTTATATTTACTGTTTTTCTATATAATTATATATTGATTTCTGTAAGTTACAAAATTAATAACTCCTTAAAATGATTTTTAGGTTTTTCTCAAAACTGTTAAAGACCGAGAGAAAATTAAAGCATGGAAAAAGTCTCATTTAGATCCTAGAAATGCATCTAGGACTCCTTCTGCAAGCAAAGAGCCTCCTGTTCGCCTCAGATATGACAATCCTGTAAATGCTTGTAAGTACTTCATGTCTAGAAATTATGTATTTTGAACTTTTAATAATAAAGAATAAACAAAGAATCAAAATATAGTTTTTGTATTTATGTTCAAGATGTAATTTTCAGTGTAAATTTTCATTTATGTTCTTAACAATATTTCCTTTATTCTGTAAATGGAACAGATTTTAATGTTTGTAATTAAGATACTGAATTAAAAGTAGGCAGCATTCATATTAAGTTTGTTATGGGTATCAAGTGCACAATGTCTTGAGAGACAGTTTTGGAAGCTTCTCTTTCAATGAGAGTAAATGTAAGTTTAGTATTTGTACACAGTGCTATAATTGGTTCTTTTAAATATTTAGAGAAAGGACATCTCAATTTATCTTGTTATGAGTTGCACGGCTTCTTTATTAACGCACAAGTAGAATTAGACTCAAATCCACTTTGTTTTAAAAGTGAGGAGCTCTTCAATGTAGGAAGAGAATCAAATATTTATGCAGTGTAGAAGAAAAAGGCAAATTCATTTCATAGTTTTAGGGTTATCTTTTTTTATCTGAATTAACTATTTTATCAGTTCATCGAATTCAGTTTAGATAACATCAGAGAAATACACTCACCATTAGAAGAAATGTGTCAACAGATATTTTCATAAAAGAGGGGATTGCATCTTTTTTTTTTTTTTTTTTTTCCCCAAATTAGTTTTTAAGTGTATCTGAACAATACAGAATTAAAATAAAATATTCTCATAATAGGTAGCCTACCAGGCGATGTCTATGAGAACAGATCACCTACTGTACATTTGCCTTTAGTTATGAGTCATGCAATAAACACATCTGATGGCAAATCATGAAATGCTGTCTATCCTGCTGTGATGCCAATCCCCAGAATGGCTATGAAATCATCTTAAGCAAATAATTGCATGGAATATGAAAGGAACAACGCCTATGATGCTGGCCCAGTCTCCTTGCTGAATTGTGTTGGCGATCTTTAAATTGTGAGGACAAATTTCTGGCCAGGTTGAAAGAATAGTGTTCATATGAATTAAAATTAAGGATGGCTAACAGTGTTACATTAAATCAGATCACATGATTTTGTTTGCCATTTGTTAGCTGAAGCAATCCTATTTCGTGTTTGTCAGCATTTTAAAACTAAAATCAAGTACAAAGCAATAATTTTTTTTTGGGGGGGGGAGAATTTCTTGACAGATTGTTAGACTACTCCCTTTTATTAGCTGAATATAATTATTCAGTATGCTAGAACAGAATTGCTTCAAAGCACAGCTTTTACAATTTTTTTTTTTTGTATGTTTATGGCTCTTGTTTGGTTAGTTTGCAAACATATAGCTGCATAAAAGTATTCATAGCTATGAGCTCATCTATAATTTTTGTTCGCATTTATTTAACTAGCTACATTTTTTGACATATTTGACATATTTGACACTAAATGTAAAGGTGGAAGACATAGTATCTATGCTTACATTGATATTTATTAGTTAATGATTTCCCTCCCTCTTTACCAAAATACATAGGTTTAAATTACATGCTCAGGAATGTGACTGACAATGGTAATTATATGCCATGCAATTGCTTTCCTCAGTGAGATGGCATATAATTTCTGTTTTCAATAGATCTTTTTGTCTATTTTTTACTACCTTTCCCCATTTGAGCAGTTTTTTAACTTCACCGGATTTCCATACGTGCTTCATATTTCGATAGTAATTTTACTGCTGGCTACATTTGTATTTTCCTGTGAACCATAAATCTCATGTGGTGTAAACTCTTAGGTTGTCTAAGGCATTTTTTTCAATGCTAATAAATTTTTGCTTTATTATTAATGAGCCTCATAATTACTCATTCACAAGAGAATATAGCTTTATCAGCAACAAGCTGAACATGGTGCTGATTTGCAGCCTCATGTGAGTTGAGTGTTATACCACAAAAAAATTTTTGAAGAGATCAAAACAAGTGAAAGTCTGAGGGCAATATGAGGCAAAACACTTTTCATCCGAACTCCAATTTTATGTCAGGTGATCAAACTTATGAGTGGCCATGCGTTATTGGAATGGAATGCTGTTCCTATATGATAATGAGTTCTGGAAGTTTCTGGATAATGGATTCTTTAAACTATCTATCCACTTGGCGACAGCGCACATTCAAACTGATTTGTTATATCTTTGATAGAGACTTGGAAGCAAGATTTCACACACACACATTTGATCACTTGACAAAAATTATTGGAGTTTGGATGAAATGTGTTACCACGCATATCATACTCACCTGATCCTCTACCCTCAGACTTTCATTTGTTATGATGTCTTCAGAATTTCATTTGTAGTGTAGCATTTAATTAGATGGGGCTGTAAATCAGCACCTTGTTCAGCTTTTCACTGATAAAGCTAGATTCTTTTATGAATGAGGATTTGCAAAGCTCAATAAAATTGAATACTTCATTTTGTTCAATAACAAAAAGTTATTCAAAAAAACTGGGTACATACTATTGACTAATCATTGTTCTTTATATAAATGAAGGACCTTTGAAGAACATTAAAAAAAAAAAAATGTGTCATCACTTTTCAGACAGCACAGTACTGTATTTACATTTCTTTGCATTTTTTTTTATATCCATACAAGTTTATGTATATAGAAATATAGATGTATTTTCATTGCTTGGATCGATGGTACTGATCCAAACATTTCAAAGTTATTTACACTGCCACCTATGCTGTGATTCATTTGGTACATAGAATGTTCTTGGTTAATATGGTGAGACTTGCTTAACACAACCATTCCTGTACAGGTGACAGGTGATCTTCAGAAACCTGTGTTTGCTTATGTTCTAAAAAATGCTAATTAGCTCCAAATGTGTTGACTGTAAGAAGTTTAACTGCATGTTTGTGATTTTCATGAATTATTTATGTATATGAAATTTATTTAATATTACATTATTAGTCTAAAGGGGCAATTTGCCCAGAAGGACTATTAATACCGTTTTGGCATTTTGATTTGGTTCACTATAAATGTCCGTTCACTTTTCAAATTGTTGCCACTAAATATTATAGCCCTTTATTAGATTTAAAGAAATTAAATAATGAAGAATCTGCATAAATGTATGTAATAGTAAAATTACAATTTTTGGAAAGCATTGAATGTAAGAACATTGAGATGTAGATGCGTAGATTGCAAAAATACTTGATGCTTAGAACGTCCATCCATTTTTGAAGAAGAAACCGTTGAGACAGATTAAATTCCATATTTATTTAAATTCTCATCTGTAGCCACAGTTCACTTGGCACTGCATTTGTGCCTATTTCCAGAATATTTTTGATACTATGGTAATGGAAGCGAACATAGATAATAGCAGAAGCGTCTTAACAGGATGAAAGCATAAGCGAGAAGAGAGAGTGTGTCTTTGTAGTAATGCAGAAGAAGATAGGAGGGAGTCAAACAGTTTCAGTTTTAAGTTTTGTTTTACAATTTGGTGATTGGTCAAGAGGCATCTGCATTAAGCATTATATAAAATTGCATAATTAATTTGAATCACGCAGTTTAAACTTGTAGTGCTATTTTTAAGATAGAGATATGAAGTCCCCAAATTAAATGAAAAATAAAAGAGGTTATACTCAATTAAAGTTTGCTTCTGTATTTTCTATCTTATCCGTATGTATGTGTTCTCGCATTGTGATAAAGTAACGGTACTTAGAGCCATCAAATTTTGAATAACATACATTTCCACCCGAATATGGGCATCTGGAAGCCCTAATTTGGTATTTGTTTTATTACCTATTTCATATTTTGTAAAACTTTAACGAATTTTTTAATAACTCGACGATTTCAAAACGACCAAAAGTAGTATTTTGCTAGAATTTTAAATCAAAAAGGTTTATTGATTTAATTGTTAATGTGCAAGACTAGTGCCCTTTGTCTTTCGGTCCTTCAGTCTTGCATTCTTTTGTTCACCTGTGTTTCACTAATAATGAAACAGGCTCTGTTATATGTCATTGGTTCTGTAATTTAAATTAACTGAAAAGTTCATAGTGAACTTTTAACTATCTAGCATCCTTCTTAAATCTTATTTTGTCGATTTTAATTTATTTGTTAAATTCTACAGCATGTCTGTACATCCCTTGTATCATATTTTGTAATAGAGCTGCACCATGCTTTTTCTGAAAGTTATAATACATTAAGATTAAATGAAGAATGTCAAATATTGTTACATTACTATTACACATTTGTTAAGTGTAAGACTTCATTTCATGTTCTCATTATGCTAAGAAAGGAACTGTTACCTTAATATTCCAGTCTGAGAAAAAATTTGTTTAAAATCTTCAGTTAGCTAGCTCTAAACTAAAGAGTGAAGACACTATACTAGATTATAGCTGAATCTTTCTTTATGACATGTTTTTGATTTATCATGTTTGCCTAAATATAAGAACTGTCTCATATCAGATGACCTTACACTGCTGAAGATTTTTCATGAAGAAAATGGATTTTCCTATAATTGGGTCTCTCATAAATCAGCTTGAGGTCCCTACAATTGGGTCTCATGTATCATGTAGCCTGCAAGCTACATAACTGATTAAAATACTAATCAGGTAAAAGCTGCATTTTTGTTTAATTTTAACTGATAGAATAATATGATTTTAATGTTATGCTACTCATGTAAAATGGATGTGGTTTTGTCAGGAAGATATTGTCTTATATTTGGGCTAGTTCAGCAGTGAATGTACTCCTGCAAAACTAATTTATGAAATATAATATTAATAATGAATTGCATTTAAAAATTTAGTGCAAAATATCTGTAGTATAATTTATCTTCAGTCAATAACTGAATTATGTTTTTATATTGTTTGGATATTTGTTCAGCGATTATAATTTGAAATATAATATGCTTCTGTTCCAGCTCCTTCAAGGGATTCTGATCATCCCAGGCCTTGGGAAGAAGATGATTTTGATAGAAAATCCAGCTTCAGATCATCTACTGGAAGATTAGTTGGCACCCTTCCAAATTACAATGGTAATGTATTTAATTATAGTTATTAAATCCAGTACTAATATCAAGTAATGGAATAAAGCATCAATTATACTCAAAGACTTAGTAACCCTTGTAAAGCTGTTCAACTATTTAATGTACGATACTCCACTGAAGTTAGAAGCTAATTTTGGACTTCAATTCTGCTGTTGTGTGCTGTAACTTAATGGTGTGTTTGATTTACGTAAGAAATTTTCAGGGATTAGCGACACTTTTTGGCACTAGAGGTGCTGTATGTCACAAATCTCCACTTTTTTGTATATATCAGTTTTCAGGTATTGTCCTCAAATGTTATCATCGTGCATTATTTTTAAGGAAATAATATGGTAAATATAAAAAATATATGGCAACACAAATAATGAATGTTGCTACTAAATGTTATCTGTATGTATTATTTTTAAAGAAATAATTTAGGGAATATAAAATGATGTCTGGCAGAAGAAATGAAAGCAATGTGCCACCAAATGTTATTGCCATATATTATTTTTGCCATTTATGGGTTACGGACATAAAATTTGACAGTAAAGGATGGCTTTCTGATTTGTTACACATGAAAACTAGTGCCAGATCTTGATCAACCCCCCAAAAACAATATTACGAGTTAGAAAAGGAGTTAAGGTGTAAAATGAGAGGGTTATACAATTCTAATCATGAAAATACTGCTTATTCAAGATATTTTGGGAAACTTTTGAAATTTCAGAACCAAATCTGTAATGCTCGGTGGGTTAAAGGAATAACATAGCGAATATAAAAAAACTATGTGACAGCAATTAACACTGTATTGGAAATTCCAAGGATATGTGAAATGTTTTTAACTTTCAAGTGCCAATTTACCGCCATTTTCTGAAGTATAAGATATTTAATTTTTCTTTTAAATTTAATCTGCTTGTTATTGATTAACAAACTAAGCAATTTAAAAGCAATAAATGCACTTCATCTCTTATACTAATTAACAAATATATTGGAGTTGCCACAATTAAAAGCTGGAACTGTGAGATTATACTAACTGGATTTATTAAAAGCATTATATGTAATATATATATATTCATTTTTATTGTAAATATTTTAAGCCTGGCCACGCATGTATCTAGTTATTTGAAAAGTGAAACAGATGACAAAAGTGAGGTTTTGCAACTAAAAATTTTTTGATTTTCCTGTTGAATTTTATGTGGCAAAAATGCAGAGACAATGTTGTTTAACAGTAACGTTTAAAAAAAAAAAAAAAAAAAAAAAAAAAAAAGGAAAGGCTATATCAGCAAGAGCTAGTCTAGAAACAGATAGGTTCTTTGCAAGTTCAACGAGAGCATAAAAAACCTAAACAAACTGTCACACAGAATGTTAATATCTAAATCTTTTCAGCTTTTCTTTCATTTTGTATTTCCAGTTAAATTTTTTATTCCAGTCGGCGTAAGTAATACCTATCATCCAGGGCTTTTGATATGAACTTAGAGCTTTGACATACCAGTATTTTTTAAGCATATGAGTTGTAATAGAAAGTTTATTTTCATTTCCTACCTTCGGCAAATTTCTTGCTCATCTGTAGCAGTATTTGATGCAACTTGTGTGCTGAATTTAAAACTTATAAAATCTTGCATCAGAAATTTTATTTTGTTGTTTTAAAAGTATTCACTGCTTGAAATATTCATCCAGTGAAAGTATGCATCCTTGATTTTCTTAAGGTTTTTCGAATAATGTATTTTTCATTGATTCTTGTTTGTATACATAAAGGAATTACACAAGAAAAGCGATTACCTCTGTATTGATGAGGAAAATGGTAAACAAGTATATTACCCAACCAAATGTTGGACAACTAGGGCAGTCTTTTCTGTTCAAAAACTAAATTTGGATCCCAGTCCAATAATGTACAGGTTAAATCAAAAAGCTTTGTTACAAATGATTATAGCAAACAATTTTATTGACACATATTTACCTTTCAATGTATCAGGTGTACAAATGGTGCATAAAACTATGAAGAAGCTAGAAGCAGTAGAGTTTTATATGATATACAAACGAATTTATAAAATTCTTGTTAATTTATAGCATTGGTAACAACATTCTGTTTAAAGTGATCTCAGTAATTATTTTCATAGTTAAGAATTAAAAAGCAAAATCTTTTGATAACTGAAGGATAAAATTAAAGTCTTTAAGTGTTTTAAACATTGCAATTTGTTGTTTTAGCATTAATCCAACTCTAAATTCAGAAGCTTAGAAAGTCTTCATATTTCAGTCTCTTCACTACTAGATTAGCTTCAGCTACTAGTACATTTTTAACTACCTTTTTCTATATTTACAGTTGTCTCTTCTCTTCGATATGTGCCAAAACCAGGATATGGCTTAGCATCAAGATCGCCTGGTCCATTAGCTGGTAGAGACAGTGGTTTGGGATATGTTGTATGTTATTCTTTCTTCTTTCTTTCTTACTGTAATATGTAGTTATTAATACACTATGCAACATTGAAAATGCAACACCAAGAAGGAGTGGCCCAAAAATTGTACAAATTTTAAGGTAGACGCACATCAGCGAGTTATGTGAATGATGTAAATTGAGCAGCTCTATAGTGCACATTGAAGAAGATATAGTGGAAGGAACCTACGGAATGTCCAACTTTCATGCCGTTTTTTCTGCTAGGGAAATCATCATAGAAAATTTTTTCTTGTTTCAAAAAGCAGAGAATGCCAGGCTGTCGTCAACGGAGGCAGTTCCAGCAACAGATGATTTTACGACGGGAAGGATGATCAGACTGAGAAGGCCAGGTTGGTCCGTACAGCAAATCTAATTTAATACACACCTGGACGCATCCACGGTGCACTGGCTGTAACTATGATAGTTAGAACAAGGAAATGTGGCAAGCTTGATTGGTGCTGGTGCAGCCAGAGTGGTGTCAGCATGCGTGGATCGATGCATCTACCTACAAGTGGTGGCACAGACACAAGCAACTTCTACCTCCATTCTGCAGCATGACCCTGAATGTTCCCATATCAACCACAACCATTTGCCATCGATTGGTGGCTAGTGGCCTGCATTCATGCCATCCATTAAAACTGCCATTGACTCCACATCATAGATGGTAACATCTGCAATGGTGCCAGGCTCGAGTGATGTGGATGACAAAATGGCATAGGGTCGTGTTCTCATATAAGTCAAGCTTCTGTTTCTCCAATGAGCAATGATAGTCATCACATAGGAATGCCACATTAATGTGGAGACAGGTCCAATATGGCAGCAATTGTGGAACGGCCCACTGTGCGACAACTTGGCATCACAGTTTGGGATGCGATTGCCTACAATTCCAGGACACCTCGAGTTTGTATTCAGGGCACTATGACGTCCCAAAGATTACATACATGATGTTCTACGTGCACTTCTCTGTCTTCAGGGAGTTCCCAATGTCCTTTATCAGCAGGATAACACCCGATCACACACTGCTCACATCAGCCAATGTGTTATGCAAGGTGAACAGTTGCTTCCCTGTCTATTGTTCTTTCCTAATCTCTCACCAGAACTCATTTGGGATGTGATTGGATGCCATTTGCAGATCCTGCCATTGTTGCTTTCAGAAGGTGAACCGTGGCAAATGGTTGACAGGGAATTCACAGCCATTCCTCAGGACACCATCTGTAGTCTTAATTAACTTTGTACCTAGATGTGCTGCTGCATGAATCACCGTCCAAGGTGGCCCTACAACCGTCTGAGCTGATGATGTTCTGACTCTGTATTATGCATATAATTTTGAAATGAAAGATCACTTATTGTTCATTGTTGTCTCTGTCTGTTTGCCAAGTTTCATCACTGCATTTTCAGTGTCGGGTAGTGTATATGACACAGTAGCATGTATTTTATTAAATTATTTTGTGCCTCTGTAATTTAAATTAAAAAATTGTTTTGTATTTAAACATTATTAAACATAGCTTATTATAGTTTGTGCTTTTTTTTTCTGTTAGAGTGACTTGGCATTTGGTAGGTTAGAAAAGACACAAAGTTCTGAATTTAGTAGTGGTAAATCAGATAGTAAGTAGATTCAGTGCTCTTTTTCCTTATTAAAATTACATATACAGTGTTCTTGAAACTTAAATATATTGGATATTAAAATATATGCATTTTCATTACCTATGAATGAAACGAAGTATGTATGACATTACTACAGTTAAGTCTTTAATCCGGACTCGTTGGGACTTTGGCGATTCCGGATTATCGGTTTTTCCGGATTATAGATCATCAGTTTAAATCTGGTAAGATGGCATGCAGAAGTTATAAAATTAATAATATGAAACTGTAATTTATGAAATAAAGAGCAATTATGATCTAAGGGGTATCAAAATTTACAAAAAAAAAAAGCTTAATATTTATTTGTTTACTTTATTAAACATTTCTTTTAACGCGCGCATGCATAAAGCATACATTGGGCATAGTCGAAATTAGAAAATTGCAACCAGAAAACTATTTAATGTGTATTCATGATATTTATAATGACGAGGAATTTGATTTAGATTATATCAGAGTACATCGAGATGAAATACTACATTTAGTAAGGAATTATAAGCCGAATAAAATAAAAACAACTGCCCTGAAGATAAGGATAGTGCTGACAGATCAACTTCCAGTTCATTGCGCCCCCCCCCCCCGCAGAGCAGCGTGAAATTGATAAACATATTTCAGAATGATTAGAGAATTAAAAGGTATGCCTTTATCCATTTTTTGCAACAATTTCACTTTTTGTTTGATGGACATCAAAACATGCTTTCGCTTTGTAGATCCTTTGGTAGCTCCAGAATCGGAAATTCTTTTTGACATAATCGAAAGTTCAAGCTTACTTTTATAAAATTGCTGTAACGGTCTGCAAAAAATAATAAGCCGGATCCAATTAGAAGATTAAGGAACAACACAGTTTGCAACATTAACTGAAATAGATAATTGGATAATTTTAGCATAGCTTGTACTGTCCGTTATACATTAAACGCGCATGCGTAAACGTATTATGTGCATGCGTAAAGGTATTATGCACATGCGTTAATGCATTGTGCATTGACGCATGCGCAGAAAGTTTGTAGCTTTGAGGTCCAGTTTATAGATCATTCCCGATTATGGACGTCCGGATTAAAGACTTTTGACTGTATAAGAAAAAAAATTTCTCCATCAGTGTCATGAATTTATTTGTTAAATCTGTTAACTAACCATGGAAGTTCAAGAGCCCGAAAATCGAACAAACTGTTGCTTTCAGAAACTGTAAATGTTGTTTTATTGGATATTCTTATTCAGAATAAATTTGTATTAACTGAATTTGAGCAAAAGTCAAGCAACCACCTGATTAAATTCTTTGTTTAGATTTCTCCCATTCCACCCTTTGTAAGGATTTCATTTTACACCTTTAAAAAAGTACTCTATTTTTTATTTAGCAGTTTTAAGAAAAATTTAATTATGAGAAAATCAACAAAACATGAAAATTTCTCTACTGAAAATTGAATGAAATGTTCAGCACTTAAGTCGTATAAAGGTGAAATGCAAAATGCAACATTTAAATGCATTTACTCTTCCTCGTATATTTAAAACCTACTGTGAAGTTTTTTGCTCCTTTTTCATTTTTCTTATTGCCATGTTTTTTTAGATTTCTTTTTAGTTAAGTATAGCACAAGGTGAGCATGCGTAAAAAAGAAAGCTTAATCATTAAAGCTTGCACATGGGCAAGCTTTTGTAGATGTTTTATAATTAGCATAACTAAAGTCATTAGCATGATATACTGTGAATAATGGGTAAATTAATGTAAATTAGAAGTGTTTTTAAATAGGGTAGTTGTTTTGAGATAAATAATGCTTTCCAGTGTTAGGGGAAATATCAAAAGTTGGAATTATATTCAAGCCAAATTCTCAGTGATATTTCTCTGAGGTTAAAATCTGTTTTTTTAATGTAATATGATTAGTATACATGCATTATTTTGTAAAATATCAAAAGAAGTAAATATGAAATTATAATCACATATTAAGGAACCTACAAATAAAAAAAGGTCATTAAATAATTGATTAACATTTACTTTATATTATATTTACTTGCAAGTTTATTTATGAAAGTTAAAATTATCAACTGGTTGAACGAAGAATAGTTTTTATTACTTCATGGCAAAAAAGGCATTCATTGGTTGGTGCCTTTCATTCAATTTAATAATTGTGTTAAAGTTTTCGCTACACATCCATTGTAACTGTTTTGCTATATTGCTTATACAGCAGATTTAAAGCGTGACCAGAATGTGCTTTATTGTCAGCTCTCATAAAATTTTCACAGAACATACGCAGCATAAGGATGTGTATGAAAATGTATATATTTGCTTATATATATACATTTTCATAGGCATCACACTTAAATGTATATATTTTCTTTTAAAATAAGAATTATTTTTGCAGCTTTTATAATATATAAAATATAAATGCTGTACTGTGAGAGAACTGTTAAAAGCAAATAACAGAATACATACTAGTTTGAGGGGAATGCATCTTGCACATGCATAATTATTGAATGAAATATTTATTATTATAAAATATGAAGCATATAGGAATTTGTTGTAATCAAAATATGTTTACTGAATATAAGGGCCTTTTAATGGAAGTGTTCAATCTACAAGAAACTTGAAATATGCCCAATTACATTTTAAGCTGTACGACCATCTACCCTGTCTTGTCACATTATTGAATCATGGATCTATGAATAAGCTTTTTAAATAATAAGAATTTGTTTAATCATTTTTCCTAATCAGTGGTGAGCTGTTTAACAAAGGGCTTGCACTATCTTATAAAAGCAATATATTAAATTCTAATATTTTTTTATCACTTTTTAAAAAATAGGGTGCTTTCTGGTTATCTGTATCTCCCTCTAAAATGTCACCAATTCATTGTAAACTAACCAGTTAATACTCAAAATGCAGCAGCTATTTTCAAAATGGCAGTACACTAAGAATTCCTGAAAAGAGCGATGACTCAATAAATTTAAAAAGCAAGAAACATGAAACATCCATAATGAAATACTTAACATTTTTGAGAAATCCTTATGTAATTTTTTTGTGGTGTGCTGTTTTCTCCATGTATGTAGTGATCTGTGTTTGGTCTAGAAAAAGAGAAAATTGCACAGATTTAATAAATCAAAATATATACATAGTGTTAGAATGACAATAATCTTACTCATGAACAGAATGTGTATGCAAACTAATAAAAACAGAAGAGAAGAGTTTTTTTTTTTTTTTTACAGTTTTGCATAGTCTAGATACTTTGCACACATGCGCTATAGGGAGAAAACAAGATATGATGTCAGTATCAATGTGGGGAGAAAACTAAAACCTCACATGATCTCATCTTCCTGGAAACAATTGCATTAAAAATTTGTAAAAGAAAAAAAAAATTAGTATTGCACAAACTGTTTTGGGAAGTGAACGTGACATCCCGAATGAGTTTGGTAATTTGCTTTCGCAGGAGCACTTTTTTCTGAAGACTGTTTCATCTAGTAAACAAGCTGATTGTTGTGATGAGGCTTTGTCAGCATCAGATAAAAATATGAGGTAAAGATACATTGTCTGGGACCAACTAAGCAGGTTTTATCGTATCAATAGACTCAGTGATATTATGTCCCTTTTTAGAGATGGTAAAAATTTTATTACGATGTTGAAGCACTTTGTAAGGAACACTGTAGGGTGTATGGAAAGAGGGTTTTACTGCATCTACACATAGAAAAACATGAGAACATTCGTCTTTGCGGACTCTTTTTTATATATATATATAGAGAGAGAGAGAGATTTGTTGTAGCATTCGAACAAAAGTGCTCTGTATGGCCATTTACAGTGGAACTCCTTTTCCCTCCTGGAAGTATAAAGAATTGTCCTGGATGATGTAAAGTTTAAACGTATACAATTTCAGCTGGAGACGAATTAAGTACTAAAAGCACTTCAAAGTCTTAAAAGACTGAGGGTAATGTAATAGTCCACTGTACGAGCCATTATGGACTGTTTAAGTGTCCTATGCCATCTTTCAGTGATCCCTTTGGCTTGTGGGTGGTATGCAGTGAGATGAGAAAGGCAAATACCAAAGTTTTAGCTAGCTTCCAAAAGAGCTCACTTTGAAATTGACTACCACAATGAGTGGTGATCTGGGCAGGTACACCGAATCTGGGGATCCAGCCTACATAAAGAGCAGTGACAATACTCTCTGCTCGTTAATCTTTCTCACTGGATAAGCTTCAGGGCAACGATTATACTTGTCAATGCTTGTTAGACAGAAAGCCATTCCTTGAGATGAAGGAAGAGATCCAGTCAAATCTGTATTGATATGTGAAAAATGTTTCATCTAGAACTACAAGTATAAAAGTAGTTAAAGGAGAGTGTATATGACAAGACACTTTAGCCTTTTGACACTGTATGCAAGTTTAGCAAAGTTCTTGATATCCTTTTTCATTCCAGACCAGACAAATCACTCACTGATCAACTTCAGCATTGTTTTAGGTCCATGATGAGAAAGGTTATGCAGAGCTGAAAAGACAAGTTTTCTGTGACTGTCTGGAACAAAAGGATGGATTTTACCATTTGAAATGTTACGATATAGTTCCATGAAAGTCTCGGGCATTTTTAACTCCTTTAGTCGTAGTGCTGAATTTTCTTTGTCTAAAAAGGAGTGTTATTCTGTTACATTTGTACATAGTCATACATCGAAATTAGATTAATAGCCATTTTTTATGCAAGATAGAGCACCAGCTGATCCATTTTCTGTACCACTCACATGTTGAATGTCAGTAGTTAACTGACCTATGAAATTTAAATTAATTTGTTGAGGGCAGAGCTTGTCATACTTTTGGGAAACTGCTTTTGTAAGTGGCTTGTGATCTGTAAACATTGTGAAGTTTGTATCTTCAAGCATGTACCTGAATATTTATTATCGGCAAATATCGCCAAAAAGCTTTCCATTTTGTGTACGATATTTCTGTTTAGTATCACTCAATTTTCTCAAAACGAATCCAAGTAGCTTCCATGTTTTTACATT